GGAGGGAGCACTCGTGGCGCCGCAGGCTGGAGGCCTGCGTGGCCCACGGGGGCGAGGCTCCCCTCGTCCTGGCGTGGCTTCGGCGCGGCGTCCCGCTCTGGCCTCTGGGAGCGATGTGGGCAAGACTGGTGCACCCCGGTGGCGTGGGCAGACCTGTCCGATGCAGGTCATGTCTCTCTCTTTCTCTGTCTCTCTCTCTCTCTGTCTCTCTGTCTCTCTCTCTCTCTGTATCCCCCTCTTTTAGATGCGCACAAGTGTTCAGATGTATATACATATATTCTCGAGCGCGAAAGATACCCGTACCCTTACCCAGACGGGGTGGCAAGGGGCCCTCGGGGCATCACCCCCCCTGGGTCCGGGTCGGCTCCCGAAACCACCATACATACCCGTACCTAGACGGGGTGACCCAACCACCACCCCAGCTAGGTCCGGGTATGTATGGTTGTTTCGGGCACCGACCCGTACCCAGACGAGGTGGCGGCAAGGCCGAAAACGCTCTAGCGGGCGGCCCTTTTCACCCCAGCTGACCCCGGGTCCGGGTATGTTTTGGGCTAGTGATATATGTCTATGGAGATATATACACGCACACCAGAACCGCGCGCGCGCGCTCAGGTTCTAGCACGCCCCAGCCCTCGACAGCAACACAACTGCACATGTGCACGAATAGAAGATCGAACGCACGAGCAGGCAACATGAACTGAACACAAGTTGCGACGACTAACCGTGACCTCGCATTATCGATCCACCCCATTTTATCCGCTGCACCAATAAACTACATATTTCACGAGGAAGGGGAACCGCCGAGCAATATCGTTAGCACCCCAATAAATTCAATAATTCCTGAAGGGGGGGACCAAGGAATTCTCCGGAATCCTTCAAGAATCCTGCAAGAACCTTATCGGAATCCGCTTGGGGTCTCGTTGGGATCCTATCATGATTTTGGTAGGAACCCGCACTGCGGATTCTTGATACAGTTTCTCCGACAAGGGGGGGGGGGGGGGGCGATCATCTTTGTCTAGGGTCATGACAAGGACACCCTCAGAGGGCCAGGGAGGGAGGCCTCACCACAAGCCTCCTCCTCCCCCTCCTGTTCATCATCTTCCCTCCTCACTCCTCCCACCTCTCCGTTCCTCATTCCTCCAGCCCTCATCCTGGCCTATACATCGCCTTCCCAAATTTCCGTTTCTTCGTCTTCTTCTCCCATCCTCTCTCCTCCCTCTTCCGCGCATCCTCGCCCATCGTCCCCTTTTCCTCCTCTCTCTGAATTCTCCTTCCTCCCTCCTGCGGGCGGCCTCGGATTACCGGACGATCACGCGGCGCTGTTCGGGCTCTCATGGGATGGGGAGCCCTCGTGAATCTTTGGGCCTCCCTTTGGGGCTGTCTGAGGGGGCTTCTGGGCCGCCTTTGAGGCATCTTGGGGCGGTCTCGGGGGCCCAGGGCCAGGGGCCAGCTGGGACGCTCTGAGGGACAACATCGGGGCCAGCTGGGCGCTCCCATGGGGCCCTTTTGGACCGTCTTGGGGCGGTGTTGGGAGGCTCGGACACCTTCTTGGACGGTCTGACCACCGATAAAGAACGATCACGCGTTTTTCTCCCCAAGCCTGAGGCGGACCAAGGAATTGTGCCTGTCAGGAGCCTCTTGGGAGCTCTCTCGGACCGCTCCTGGAGTGGATTGGGAGCTTGCGGGCAATCTCGGAGCCTTCCTGGTCCGTCTTGAGGTGCACTCGTGCCGTCGTCTGGCATCTTGGGCCATCTTCGGTCCATATTGGGCCACCGTGGAGCAATCAGAGCTATCTTGGGACACTCTTGGGATGTTTTGTACCCCTGTCTAGGTGGCCAAACGGCCCAAGAGGCCTAAGAGCGCCCCAAGAGGCCTCCAAGAGGGCTCCAAGACGGCCTAAAAGCGCTCCAGGACGGCACAAGAGGCGCCCAAGACGGCACAAGAGGGCCCCAAGACGGCCCCAAAAAGGGCCCAAGAGAGGGAATACGAACCGAAAACCCGAGTCTTCCGCCCCAAGAGGCCCCCAGGAGACCCCAAGAGGCGCCCAGGAGGCCCCAGGAGGCCTCCAAGATGCCCGCAAGAGGCCCCCAAGGGCCCCCAAGAGATCCAACAGAGGCCAGAAAAGGCCCCGCAACGGACCCGAAGAGTCCTCCAAACGGACTCCAAGAGGCCCCCGAGAGGCCTCCCACGAGATCCTAACGAACATCCAAAATGCTTCGTATCCACAACCCAGGCACGATGGCGGATATGTATGCCGTATACACATGGAAGTATCTATTCCATAAACATATGTCCATGTCTCTACGGCATATGTATGTATGCATGCATGTATATCTGTATGCACGAATGTGTGTATGTATGTGTGCATGCATGCATGCATACAGGTATGCATGTATGTATGCATGCATGTATGCATGTATGTGTATGTATAGATTTACCTACACATGAATGTATACAGACACACACATGTACATGTATATGTATATGCATATGTGTAAGTCGATGTATGCGTAACATGTACATGCACTTGTATACTTATATATATACACTAGAACCACGCGCGCGCTTCGCGCGCGCTTAGGTTCTAGCTAGGAGGCGAGCTTGAGTCAATGAAAGTCGCAGGGAAGGGGGCAGGGGGAAGAAGGCCAGAGAGCGCTGAAGGATACAAATACTGGAACCCTCTTGTGATTTTGTGGGGGGCCTCGTCCGGCCGCTCGCTGGGAGTTTGACGTAGCTTCTCGGGAGCCTCTGAACCTGTCGGGGGCCTCCTGGAAGCAGGTTCGAAGCATTTTGGGGGCCGATTTGGGGCTTCTCGGGGCCTCCTTTGGGCCTCTTGGGGGTCTCCTGGGGCCTCTTGAGGGGCCTCCTTGGGGCCTCCTGGCGGCCTCTTGGGGCGGAAGGCTCGAGCTTGCGGTTCGTGGTCCCCCTCTGGGCCCCCTCTTGGGCCCGTCTTGGGGCCCTCTTGGGCCATCTTGGGCGCCTCTTGGGCCGTCTTGGGGCCCTCTTGGGCTGTCCTGGGGCCCTCTTGGAAGCTTCTTGGGCCGTCTTGGGGCGGTCTTGGGCGCCTCTTGGGCCGTCTTGGACGCGGTGAAAGCCCAAGAGGCGAACATGCGAAACATATACGTTTTCCCATAGGAATGGCACGATTTTTGCTTCTTGGGCCTCTCTTGGGCTGCCTCTCGGAGCGTCTTGGAGGCTTCTGAAACCTTCTTGGTGTCATGACAGGCGTCTTGGAAGGCATCTGGAGCCATCGGAGCGCGTTCCGAAGCCGCCTGCGAACGATCTTGGACGGCGTCCGGCGGTCCGACGAGCCTCCGGGCCCCCCGGTGCCCACATTTGTGGTCGAGGTCCCGGCCCTGGGCCCCCGGACCCGGTGCGCCGTTATATGTATATATATATATATATATGATTGAGGGACAAGCTAGTCACATATGATCGTCATTTTGAAAATATAAATAATTTATTGCTTACAGCTTTTTTCTTAAACACAAAATATTTTTAATCCTGGCCTTTGTAAATAAAAGCGATTACATATTATTTTATTAATTAAATTATTTAAACTATGTAAACTTGTTTAAACTATTATATATTTAAAAATTGTAATAATTTAAATAATTTAAATAATTTAATTAATAAATTAGCTGAAAACTCGTCTTTCTTCGAAAGGACGCTGGTTTCAATAAATTAAATATTTTATTGCCCGGGTGGTTTAAAATATTTAAAGTATTTAAATCGGGGCTCCTGTAATCGAAGCGAAACGTTACGATTTTATTAAGTAAACTATTTAAACTTTTTATAAATATTTAATAATTTAAATAATTTAAACAATTTAAATAATTTAATTAATAAATTAGCTAAAACTCGTCTTTCTTCGAAAAGACGCTGATTTCAATAAATTAAATATTTTATTGCCCGGGTGGTTTAAAATATTTAAATTATTTAAATCGGGGCTCCTGTAATAAGCGAAACGTTACGATTTTATTAATTAAACTATTTAAACTATTCAAACTTTTTAAATTATTGGAATATTCAATAATTTAAATAATTTAAAAATTTATATAATTTAATTAACAAATTAGCTGAAAACTCGTCTTTCTTCGAAAAGACGCTGATTTCAATAAATTAAACATTTTATTGCCCGGATGGTTTAAAATATTTAAAGTATTTAAATCGGGGCTCCTGTAATCGAAGCGAAACGTTCCGATTTTATTAATTAAATTATTTAAATTATTAAAACTTTTTAAATTATTAAATATTTAAATAATTTAAATAATTTAAATAATTTTATTAATACAATAACTGAAACTCGTCTTTCTTCGAAAAGACGCTGATTTCAATATATTAAAGAATGTATTGCCTGGGTGGTTTGAAATATTTAAATTATTTAAATCGGGGCTCTTGTAATACAAGCGAAACGTTACGATTTTATGAATTAAATTACTTAAATGTTTTAAACTATTTAAATTATGGAATATTTGAATAACATTAAAAAACTAAATAGTTTAAACAATTTAATTAATAAAATAACTGAAGTTCGTCTCTTCACGAAAGGACGCTGATTTCAATAAATTGAATAATTTATTGCCCGGGTGGTTTAAATTATTTAAATTATTTAAATCTGGGCTCCTGTAATAGAAGCGAAACGTTACGATTTTATTAATTAAATTGATTAACTTATTAAACGTTTTAATTATTTAATATTTAAAAACTTAAAAATAAAGAATTTAAAAATGATTAATAAAATAACTGAGGTTCGTCTCTCGTCGAAACGGTACTGATTTAAATGATTAAGAACTTTGCTCTGGGAAATTAAATAATTCAAATTATTTTAATCGGGGCTCCGGTAATAGAGGCGAAGCCTTCGCAACTCCCGATGTTTAGTACTCTTTTTCGCATGGCAGCGCAAATGCCGCGCGTCGAGGCAGTGACAAGGCAGCACGTAGTTGAGCTTCAAACATAAACGCAACCACTAGCATTCATCTAGGGAAAAGCCGTCCGCCTTAGCTGCGCTTCCGAACAAGAGAGAAGGGCGTGCGCTTGCGCTGCTTGGCTGCGCCCGGCCGCTTCAGGGTGCGAATGAATTGTTGTTGCCCTGCTGGCTTGCGCGCAACAACCATGCGCTTGTGATCCACCTTCCACTTGTTCGCCAGGGGCTCAGCGGCTTTGCGCTGCAGCGCCAGCGGAAGCTGCGCTTTCCGCGGCGCCCTCTGCTCCTGCGCCTGAGAAGCGCAATGATTTGCCCACTCGGCGGCGGATATCGCAAACGAGCAGACCACGCTAGCTGCGACAGTTTGCGAAGACAGCTGGCGCAGAGTGGGGGCGTACATAGCTGAATTATGCATCATTTGCTTGCCGATTACGTTGACGCCGAGCTGGAGCTCTAAAGTCTGCGCGTACAACTCCGGCTGGTTCTTAAACCACCTGTTGATCTCGCTACGCAGCGCTTCGTTTGGGCTCGTGCCCGAACCGAGCAATGGCAGCGCGCGAGCCGGCAGCGAGTGCCGCATGCGCAAATTATTAAAAAGATACTCGCGTCGACTGTGCTGCGCGGCATTCGCTATTACATCAGCCAGCTTCTTGCTTGGCGCGGCGGGGGTGCGCCTGTCCACTTCTTCCCAGTAGACGGACGTCAATGCCGCCAATGCCTCGATGAACTCAAGTTTTCTCACGAATGGCTCATTGGCGTCGAGATCTGCAATGATCTTGTGCGCTCGGCGCTTCTGCATGCCGCCGCCGGCTATCAACGACTGCGCGCGGCCCTCGGCGGCAGACAGCGAGCTAGCCTGGTGGCCCGTGTAAGGGGCGCCCCGCGCGGCGCCATTTAAATCTGAGCTCACTTTATTGAATTTATTCAAAATGATTCGCAAAACTGCCTGGCCCGGAGAATGTTTCCGCCAGTGCGCCTGATTATACACAATTGCAAGATGAACAGGATCTAGGCACAAAAACTTGAGCTGAGGCATGATTTGCTTGAGCTCTGCAAACAATGTCGCCGACGGATCATCTGATGCCACTGAGACGCACTGCTGGAGAGCTCGCTCGGGCAAGTGATTTCGAAGAGCCGCCTTCACGACGGATGCCGCTTCGCTGGCCACGGGCCACATGCCAATGGCGGCTGACGTACGACCTTTGGCAGTCAAAATGCGCCTCTTGGCAACGCCGTCTGGAAACGGCGCCGCCGCTCGAATCTCTGCCGGTTCCCTGTAGTTCGCCTGGCCTTTCACGCGCATGGCAGTGCGCAGAGTTGCATCCAACGAAACGTGCTCAAACTCTGTATTATCAACCAACTCGCCCATGAGATTGGTTCGCAATTCCTCTACGAACGGAGACGAGAATACGTCCTCCATCAACGACAACCACTGAACGACCTTTCCTGGTAGAAGGTGCGTGACGCAACTGCCGGCTTCCTTAAAGCGCGTCACAATCCTCGCCCTCATCGGGCGCACTCGACCTTCGTGCAAGATGGATTCGCGGAAGACGAGCTCGGCGAACTCCTTCGTGTAGTACGTGTTTCCCACGCGCCTGTCGAAGCCGACGAAAGAGTAGGATGGCAAAGGGCAGGGCGCGCAATCAGCTCACGCAGCTACTGTCCCCGGCGCCCCGCAACGCCGGGAGGCGCCCGCGCGTCGAAGAACGGGCTCAACGGGCGGAGCCGAAACCAGCTGCGCGAAACAGATGTCGCACCCCCCCCCCCCTTTCCGCATCCTGCTCTTTCTTCCAGCCCGAGCCTGGCTTGGAGCGCGCCATCTCTCGCGAGAACCTCGAAGTTGACAAACCGGGGCCCGTCGTGGTCAAGGAGCAGCCGAATCTGCTTGTCAACACCAAGACACCGCAACGGCGGGCTCACCGACCGCCGCATGAGATCGGCACTGCGCTGCAGCAAGTTCTTCGGTTGATGCTTTGATAACATGTCGTCGTCAAACAACGCCTGGATGACTTTCCACTGCTTAGTGCCTGAAGCAACGTACCGACCTGATCCCATCTTACGATCTCTACCATTCTCGCATTTTCTGTGCAAGCCTTGCAACGCTCCCATTCCCGTCCTTCGTGGCGCCTGTGCGAGAGAGCGACTTCACGATCATCTCGAAGTCAGTAACCTCGTCGCGTAGAAGCTGCAAGAGATTCGCATGCACGCGCACGCATGAATCGTCATCCAATTCCTCGGCGTGCTCGTCGTCGGCGTTCGCGACGTCAACGGCCCCCTCCTCCTCGACGCCGGCTCCGGCCACCATGTCCATGGCGTCGCGTGCAGCGACGTCATCGCCAAGGGTCGACGAATGCCCGCCGCCGAGAGCGAACGCCGGCTCGACGCCGAAGTCGAGGATAATCCGCAAGCAAGCGTCGAGACAAACTCGAGGTACGTCCCAAGATAACCCTTCTGAGTGTAAGATGCTGCCGCCGTGCTCGAATACTTCGACAGCTGCGCAATGTTCTCTGCCTGCAACTTTTCCGTGAACAAGAAATCGGCCAAGTGTCTCCACCGCCGTCGTCGGCACTGGCCGCAATGAAACGCCAAAGAGATTGGCGCAGTCACTATATCGACGAAGGCCGCTCGCCATAGCTGCTGCGTTCTCGTCCGAATCCACAGTCGCCGCTGCGACGACGCCATCCCAATCGCCAGTGAGCGCCGCAATGCCGAACGGGATGCAGTTGCCGTGCCACGTCAGACGTCGCCGGTCAAAAGGCACGATGCCGCGAATTGAACAACCGAGCTCGCGAAGAGCTGCCGCCCCCCGCTGCGCAGCTGGGCTGGCCGGCGAGGGCGGCGACAGAGAGCGGTCTGAGCTCGGGCTACCTGCGGCGACGCGCGCCGCGAGCGAGCGGCGTCTGCGCGCGCGGCAGACGGCGGCGACATTGTCCTCGATGCCGGCGCCCGCAAATAAATCCAATGCGCCATCCAACGAACTATCTCGATGATCTTCGTCATCTCGATCGGCGGGCTTCATCTGAAATGCCACTACCATACACCGATCGAGAGCCGCCAACACCGCCTCGTCCAGCGCCCCGGCCGGCAGACTCCAGCGCTCCCTGCCGACGTAGCACTTGTGCGGCCCACGCTGTTTCACGTCGATGCCGACGCAAAGCGGCGCAACGTCTGGCTCGCAGTGCACTAAGAATAGCCCAGGACAACTTTCCTGTGGCACTTCCACGGGCAACAGCTTCACATTGGCCGCTCTCGCACATGTCCGATACGAGCGCCGAGGCGGCGCCCAGAACAGCGGCGACGAGGCCGCCGAGGCCGCCGCTGCGCTGGGAGGCGTTGCGGCGGCAGCGGCCTTCGTCGACATATCCGACCAGTTGCCCGCGAGCGCAGCCATTGCGCAGAAGATGCCATTGCCGGCAGAGAACAGCGCCTCGACGTCGCTCGGCGCATCTGCAGGCTCAACGTCAAATGCGCTCGCACGGAGAAGATCAATAAAATAATATCTCTCCTTGTTCCTGATGCTTACGGAATAACCCGTAGTGGCAAGAATCCGTTCCTCAGATTTCTTGCAAAAGGATTTGACCTTCTCTGCGTCCGAAACTGCCGTGGCCTGCGCATCGCCGCCCGCCTGGCTCAAAAGGACGCGCCCCTTGTCGACGCGCAGGCCGTCGAAATGCAAAGATACGTGACTGACTTTCTCTTCCATGACAAAGTCGACCCACTGCTCCAAACAATAATCCTCAACGCCTTGCCACATGTAGCTGGCCAGCGATGCCTCTGACCACTTGTCCTGCGCGGACTCTAGGAGCTTGAACTGCTCCGGGTACAGCCCCACGGCTAGCCAACGCAGGAAACGCGCTGTTCTCACCAGCATCTTGGCGAACTCGTTCTCGGACAACTCCTTCGGCAAAGCGCCGCCGCATATCAGCTTGATCAAGACTTGCTTGCCCTTGAACGGCAACATTTTGAAGACGTCCCTATCAGGAGCCAGAGGAAAGCTCGCCCATGCTTCTTCGCTCGCCAAAGCACCTGCCCCATGGACCCTCTCCCTCCGCCTCATCCCCTCCCCACAGCGGACTAAAACGCCCCTGGGCCTATTTCCCCAAGCCGCACCAGGCCAAGGAAACCGCATCGAGACGAGCGAGGAAGCGCGGACGGCTTTCAGACTCCAACCTGCAGACGCCCTCTCGATCTGCGCGAACGCGCTGTAGCGCAGCAATCTCGTCCGCGAACAGCTGAGCGTCAATGATCCCCAACTTTTCAATGATCTGCGCCAATAAACAAAAAACGCAGTTCACGAAATCCAAATCGAAAGTGCTCGAAAAAAACACGTGCTGTAATCGTTGGTCCATGGCCTGCGCCAAGAGCTCCTCGTTGACGTACTGCCGAGACGGCCACTCCACTGCGCGCCTGTAGCTCTTGAAGCTGTCAAGCGGGACTGTTTCTTTCCTTCCAGTATGGCGGGTTGGAGACTTCTCAACGCTCGGCTGCTTCGAGGCCAACTTCCTTCTCTGAACCTCGAGGTCGGCCGACCTCTTACTCCGGTCAAGCAGCCGCTGCGACGTCTCTGTCATTGACAAAATCTTCTGTGCCCTCTCATCCAAACTCTCGATCCTCTCGAGGACGCCCTTCGCTGGCCGCCCCCGCGCAGGAGCAGTCGCCGATGCGAGCGCGTTAAACGCGCCTGCCAAAGTCTTCTCGTTGGCCAATCTGGATGTACACCGCGCCGCCTCCAGCGCCGATGCGTCGCAATGCTCCGGGTATATCGCATCGCAGCATGGCGGCCGCCGTGAACAAAGAATCGAAGCGTCTCTCTGAGTCTTGACGCGCGGAATCAGACGATCTTCCGCCTTGCCCTTGGAACCGACGTCGATCCACAAGTCGCTGCCTTTCAACGACTCCCATTGTTCTTCTTTGTTACCCTTCAGCCTAGCGCCGGGAGGTGTTGCAGACGCTCGGAACACGCTGTAAGTCAAGTAGTTCAATCCTTTCCGCTGCAGCTCCTTCACCAAATGGTTGCTGAGAAGGACTATCGGCGAACTCGGCAAATGGCCGTCCTGGGACGGCGGGTCAACCAAGCCCTCGGCGACAGCGCTCGCCGCTGATTCCGCAGCGTTGGCCGCCTTGATATGACAAGCGATCCTGACGTATTTCTCGGTTACTCCATGGTCACCGCCGCACTTCGTGTAGTTCACCAAAATGTCTCTGCACGCCTCGGGCCCGTTCTCCACCTCGAACGCGTACTGAATCTTATGGCCTGCCGCAACTGCGGCCCCGCTAATCATGAAGTCCTTGGCGTCGGGATCGCGCGCGAAGATGCCGTATCTGCTCGGGTCGGTGAGAATAATCTTATCAACGTAGAGCTTGTCAAAGAACCGCGACTGTATCTTGATGATGGCGATGCGGCGCACAATAGACTCCAGGTTGTGCTCGTTGACGTTGTCGAAAGTGAAGAACTGGTTTACCTCCATGCGCTTCCACCCGATGATCCTGTACATCTTCGTCAAGATGGAGTACGGCAGTCTCCCCGCGATGGTGTCGGCCGTGGCGAACTTCTTGAGCAAGTCCTGGCGCATGCTACTCCTCTGCCCCGAGGGCCGCTCCTGGCCGGTGAAGATGCAGCCGCCGACCAAGAGTTCCACCACCTTCCGCATCTCCTCGTCCTGGAAAATATATATTCGGATCAAAGAACTTGTGGTTCTTATCGCCGTACATCGCGTGCAAGTGCGACGTGTAGAGGGATAGGCCGACGCCGCCCGGCCCCCAATACACAGTTATTTGATCGATGTTTTGACCGCGCTTGGCCAATGCCTGCGCTGCCTGGCCGAAGACGAACGATTCGGGTATAGACCAAAAAGTTTGCTCATACACGCGCTGAACGCGCTCCATGGCGGCGTCAAGCACCGGGTCCAGCAGAGGTGTCGGGATGCCGAGATATATGTTGTTCTCTGGTGAACGAGACGACAACAAGCAAACGTTCTCGAAAGCGCTGCGATCGTACAACACGCAGCAGTCAGCGCACGCGCATCCTGGAACCCGCTGCATGTCAGTTGAACACCACTCAATGAAATAAGGAACCAACTTGTTTCCAAACAACTCATACTGAAGCTTAGTTGACACTTTGGATATGGTCTGAGCCGTTAGCACGAACCAGCTGTCAGCCGAATTGCTCGTGTCCGGTGCAGGGGCTGCAAGGGCGCCCTCTGCATCCTCGCCGTCGCCGCCCGGTTCGCTCTGCCTGCCAGGCGCGGCGCTCCCTGCTTTCAACAAGTTATTGCCTTTGTTGAACATGCAGTTGTCATGGAAAGTCAACATTGCACTCGGCAAGTCGTTGTTGTTCTGCGCCAAGGCCTCCTTGATGGACGAATCGATCGCATTCAGTACGTCCGCGTCCTTGCGCGCGACAGGCGCCTTGAAGGACCTGAACAACCCTTCCAAGGTCAGCATGGCATTGCCAGCGGCAGCTAGCACGGTCGGCGGCATGAGACCGTCGAAGCCCTCGAAATGTCCAAGGGAATGATCGTAAAAATAAGCACGACCTGAGTGCGCCCGCAGCTCGCGCCCGCCCAGAAGCACCCAGAGAAGCTGAACGTGCTGAAGGAGGCTGACATCAGATTGCCTGCTCCGATACAGCATTAGAGCTGCCATCCCAAGCCTTTTGACATCGTCGTTCCACTCCTCGTGGTTTTTGTTAACGATATCGGCAAGCCTCTCCGTAGCAGCCACCACTCCGTGAAACTGAGGCGGGTCGGCGGCCGACGAGTTCGCGAGCTTCGAGGACTTCTCCGTCACGTCGGACCACATCGACTTGAACGTCTCCCGGGAAGTGGCGGCCCCCGCGATGCGCATCCGCTTCGCCAAGGCCGCGACCATGGCGGCGTCTCGAGGAGCTCCCTCAGATATCTCGGCCGCCATCGTGTCCTCGGCGCCAACCGTCGGGGGGTCGCCCGGTTGCGTTGGCACCTCGAATTCTGCAGCCTGTGTTTCAGGGATCACCGAGTCCTCTATGACCGCCCCCAAATCTCTGGAATACTGCGATAAGTGCGGAGCCCCCCCGCGAGACGTGCCAGCCCTGAGACCGCGCAGACGACGGCCCAGGCAATGGCCATGCGCTCCCTTGTCAGCGATGATGACTTTGAAAATCAACATGTTTGGCGGCGCCGATACCTTGGACGTGGTTTCAAACTTGTACTTATTCTCCCAAATGGTAACGTAGCGATCATGTACGCGAACTCCCGTGCAATGCCCCACTCTCTTGCCAGACTGATGACATAGGTAGGCGCCAGGGAGAGAAAGGTCGCTCACCTTGCGAGAGCTCGGCGTCAGCGGCGGCAACGGCGAAGCGGGCCGCGCGCCCGACAGATTCGAGGGAATCATTTTGCGCGGCCCGACGGGGGGCCGCGACTGGCAGTCCCCCGCGAACCGATCGAGCGCGCCTGCCCGCTCTCCGACGCGCCGACGACGCAAGCCCGCCCAGGCGCCTCCTGCAAACCAACGCCCAGCGCAGCGGCGACGTCCACGTATTTGCGGCCACGCGAAGCGGCGGCAGGGAAGATCTTCGCATATGCTACGGCATCCAGCGCCTTGCCGATCACGTGGCCGATGCCGTGCGCGACGCAGTTGCCCTGGCGCGAAAGCAACGCCAGCTCCGGCTGGAGGTCTGTCTTCACGAAGATGGGGGCATTCAAGCCGCGCGTGTACCAAGGCGCCTTGTCCTTCGGATCAGTCGGGCGGCGGCGAGGCTTCGACGAACGCCCGCCAACGGGTCCTGTCTGCGCCATCACCACGCCCGACTGCATCCAGTCAAGGACGCCCTCGTTCGTCAGGACGCCCTTCGCCACCAAAGACTCCAAGACGTCAATCTCAGGCAAGTCGCTGCGAGGCCATCCGGCCGATGCTGCTGCTGCACGATAGGCGTCGTGGATTGTTTGGCCTGAAATGACGCCCGCCTCGACGAGCGCCAAAACCTCCTCGCTGCTGAGATCCAGCTGCAACGACGACGCCATTGGGATGCTGAGTAACAGCAACGAATCAATTTGTAAGGGGGCGCCGTGCCCTCGAGTCGGAAATATGAAGGAGGGCGCAGGACCCTCGAGTCGAGATTGGAGATGAGCTCTCCTGGGCTTCGCTTTGAAAGCTGCTCGAGCAATCGGCTGCAACGTCGCTCCTATCAATCGCAGGCAGAAGTTATCGCTCTTTCATATACATGTACTTCGTTCCGAGACACGCAGAATTCAAGATGGGCGATCGGCTCCCTGGGAGCTGGGTTGACAAAGAGAAAGAGTGAGAGAGAAAGAGAGAGAGTCGAGATCGGGGATGGGATCTCCTGGGCTTCGCTCTGACAGCTGTTCAAAGCAATCGGCTGGAACGCCGCCGCGATCAATCGCAGGCAAAAGCTATCGCACTTTCGTAGATAATTCCTCCAAGGCACGCCGACATCGAGATGGGCGATCGGACACCCATGGGAGCTCGGTTGGCACAGAGAAAGAGAGAGAGATATAAAGAGACGGACGAGTCGAGATCGGAAATGCGTTCCTCGGGCCTTCGTTCTGACATCTGCTCAATGCTATCGGCTGCAACGTCGCTCTGACCAATCGCGGGCAGAAGCTCCTGGGCTTCGCTCTGATAACTACTCGAGAGAATTGGCTGCAACGTCGCCCTGATCGATCGCACGCAGAAGCTATCGCTAGTTCATGAAAATATGGGCTATCGGAAAAGGCTCTTGCCCACTACCAGGTTTCTGACTATCAAAAAGCTGTAGGCGGTGGGGGGCTAAAGCTGGCGTTCCTGGGTATTGCGGGCTGGACCTCTAGATTTATTTCTGGAGTTGGCATTTCTTTCTGTGGCCGCGCAAACTCATCGCCGCGGCCAGATGTCAGGTCTGGAGAACGTTCAGTGAGGCGCACGCAGGCCGAAACGCCCTTGCCCACTGCCAGGTTGATGGCCCTCCGAAAACTGCAGTGGGCAAGAGCCCCTTGTCTGTTTTTTTCTAAGGGGGCCGCTGCTCGAAGCAATCGACCGCAACGTTGCCCTGATCGATCGCGGTCAGAAGCCAACGCCCCTTCGTGAACATTAGCCCGTTCCAAGATGCACAGAAAGCAAGATGAGCGATCTTCTCATGGCAGCTCAGTTAGCAGAGTGAGAGAGAGGGAAGACGATATGAAGAAACAATGAGCACATGCAAGGTAGAGAGACAGAGAGAGAGAGAGAGAGAAGGCGAGAGAGATAGCGGGAAGGAGCTAATGCATATACTGATGCAACATATCAGACGAGCAAGCGCGGCGTCGTTTCTTAAGATAAGACAAAGCGAACAAATAAACTCTGAGAGTCTCCGAAAACAGTCGGATAGATATACAAGCGGAAGCGGCGGCGCGGGGGCCAGGCGGTGGGAGGCGGGCCCAAAGCATGTTAGTACAACAGGAAAAGTAGCATCGCCACGATCAGCAATCAAATCAAACAGATGCTCAAGCGCTCAGGTGCCACCCGTCGCACTGACGTCGTCGCTCAGCGGGTGCCACTGGCTCGCGCCGGTCGGGTTGTGATAGAAGAACAGCGTGGTAAAAGTGTTGTCCAGGTAGTACGTTTCCCAGCCATCCAATACCTGGGGGATAGATATCCAGCTGCCACTGCCGTGAGTTGGAGGGCGAACAGCCTTGCAGACCTCGACGAAGCATTTGAGATCCGCAAGGCGCATCGGCCCCTACTCTGAGCAGTGGCGACGGAACATCAGGCCCGGGATCACGCGCGCGTGGTCGAGGCACGCGTAGTGCGCCCAGCGGGGGCCCCGCACCGACTCGACATCAGATGAGATGACGGTGGTCGGGTGGCTGTGGTGATGGTGATGATGGTGGTGTTCTTCCACAGCAGCGCCTCGATCCATCCATGGGTCCCCTGGCCGCCGCGGCGCTGCCTTGGCCGGTGGCGGACTCGGGGGCACGGCCGGCGGCGACGCCTTGGCCGGCGCGGCCGGCGGCGGCGCCTTGGCCGGCGCTGCAACCGTCGCCGCGGAGCCCGCATCGACGCCGGAGGTCATCCAATTGAGGTCATCTTCCTCGGCGAGCATCCCCATCTCCCCCAACCTCCACGCAGCGGACAAGAGAGTCTGGCGCGTGACGAGGCCGGCATTGAAGAGGGCCGCCACCTCGGCGCTGCCAAGAGCGAGCGCCATCGCGGGCGGGCGGGCGGGAGGTGAGTTATTCTGGCTTGTGTGGGCGCTGCTTGGGCGAATTGGCCGCGGCCCGCCACGCCGCCCTGCCAGCCGATCTCTGACATGTTTCCCAAGCTTTGTTGCGAGTGGGTACGCGGGGGGCGCACGTTGTGAATATGTTTACATTGGAATGTTAATGCTTAAGTGTTTTTGAAACGGATGAGATAACATTTTTTGCCGTGGAACACTTGGAGATAGCACTAGGGATGCGAAATACAAAATGTCGGAAGCAAATCTAGCCTGGAAGGCAGCCCGGTATCTGGTCGGCGGGCAAAATGATACACCAATCTATATGGGGTCGAGCGGGCGTGCCCTCGGGACTCAGCGCGGGCGCTTCCGGCTGAGGCCGAAGCAGGGGGCCACCTGCTGCCGGCCGCTCACTTGCTGCTGGCCCACCTTCAACACCACGGTGTGATGATTTGGTAAGGCGAGCTGGTCCAGCACGTACGCTTTGATTGTCTTCATCGTAGTCGAATATGCGGCGACGTATGTGACGAGGAGCTGCGACAACTCGGGCGAGTGTTCAACTGTCACGTGCACGGCGAGAGTGTGCGACGGCTGGTGCAAGTTGCCCAGGGTGATTGCCGCCTGAATCGGATGAAGAAGACGCACCGCTATCCACTCGAGCTCGACGTCTGCGGGCTTGTAGTACATGATCTGCCCTATGGAAGTGCCAGCTCTACCCTTGCGCCGACTCTGGCCAAGTCCGTCTTGAGTTCTGGAAGCGCTAAAGCACCTCTCTGGCCAGGCCACAAAGGCACGAACGCAACGTCTTGTTTTCTCAAGTCGGGCATGGCACAAATCGGCGCAAGTGGAATTATGGCATTTCCAGATTGCCTTCGCGGCGTTGGAAGGTCCACTTCTTCCAGCCGCACTGGAAGTTGCATGGGATCCAGATCGCGTCCTCGGGACCGATGCAAGGAGGCTGAAACAATGATCGAAACGTCGTTCCAGTTTCCCTCCCATCGCGAATGCAATCGCATTTGCGTTGTGAAGGTCGGTCATTTTTGTTTACGGGGCCAAAGCAAATGTTACATGTATAGTATGCGGCTTTCAAAGTTCCCGAATCCTCGCCGTTGTTCAAGCGATCTTGCTGGCGCATCCCCAACTTGCTCCACGCGGCGCTGGGGGGCAAGGTGGGAAGAGGGCCGATAACGGCGCCTCCCTCCAGGTAAGCAAATTCATACGCCATTGCGTATGAACGTATGAAATCAAAGATTTCGAGACTCGAGCCACGTCTTTGCAGCTGTGGGCGCAATGGCATCGCAACAAAGTAACATTGATCAATTAATCAACGCATATAAGCTACATACGAAATAAATTAATAACAATAGTACTCGTTACCTTGGGGGTTCATTTTACTCTGGAGAGAAACGGCCAAATCTTGAACCTTTCTGCAGCAGCTATATATGCAATACATTAAGAGAAACATCTCTTCGTCTATGAAATGACTGAGTCAGTTTACAACTTGCTCGCCAGATCTTCAAAAACTATATGCTTTCCGCAGGAACATATCACTGTTGTGAGTTATATTTCACGCAGAGCGGGTGCACCAGATACCGGCGCGCTATCTGGTGCAGTTCGGTTTGTTCTTTAATACAATCGTCCCTTTGTCTTTGGATTATTAAATGCATTAGTACGACTTTTCAACAGTTTCGGTGATAGAAGTAGTACTGTGATAACAATAACAATATGCGTGTATCTGGCGTTTCAGCAGCGAGCGGCAAGCAGCGCGCAATACACTTGAGCTAGAAAGATTTGGACGCCAGCGAGTTCATGTGCTATTCCCTTTTAAGAGAAACATCATTTCCTGTCTGAAATGACAGAGTCGGTTTACAACTTGCTCGCCAGACCTTCAAAAACAATATGCTTTTCGCACGAACACATCACTGTTGTGAATTATATTTCGCGCAGAGCGGGTGCACCAGATTCCGGCGCGCTATCTGGTGCAGTTCGGTTTGTTCTTTAATACAATCGTCCATTTGCCTTTAGATTAATAAGTGCATTAGTACGATTTTCAACAGTTTCGGTGATAGAAATAGTACTGTGGTGACAAAAACAATATGCGTGTATCTGGCGTTTCGGCAGCGAGCGGCAAGTAACGCGCAATACATTTGAGTTAGAACGATTTGGACGCCAGAGACTTCACGTGTTATTTCCTTTTAAGAGAACCATCACTTCGTCTCTGAAATGACAGAGTCGGTTTACAACTTGCTCGCCAGATCTTCAAAAACTACATGTTTTTCGCAGGAACATATCACTGTTGTGAATTATATTTCACGCAGAGCGGGTGCACCAGATACCGGCGCGCTATCTGGTGCAGTTCGGTTTGTTCTTTAATACAATCGTCCCTTGGTCTTTGGATTAATAAGCGCGTTAGTACGATTTTCAACAGTTTCGGTGATAGAAGTAGTGCTGTGGTAACAATAACGATATGCGTGTCGGTACGAAAATTATGTTTCCTGATAATCGTTTGTATATTATTAGTCTGACTGAGTTCAATAACAACTACCATTATCTAGTAGTAATAGTACTGGTAATTGTCATTATTCGATTGATAATATTTATTAGTACTTCGGGATACCGCTCCTTAGTACTAGTCGTATTTAGTTGTAGTACGACTTAGTAGTAACAGTAGTACGAGTAACGCTTAGTGGTACTACTTGATACGAATACTCAGTAGCTGTATCGGTGGTCGTAATTTTAATAATGGTTCGTGGTCGTAGTACTTAGTAATAGTAGTAGTGTTGATATCAATATTACTCTGCATATACGAGTACTACTACTACTACTACTACT